TATCGCTCGCCGAAAACAGGCCATTTAACATGTAAACCCTATGGGCTGGTAGGAAATGTACGCCGTGGAGCAGCAGTGCTACCAACTAACTTCGGCGGGGGCCGGTCCCAAGCCTCGTGGAGCATAGTTGCTAAATATGTCATGCATGAGCGCCTCGGCATGAAGCCATGTTGCTCGCTGCGAAGCACTGGACTTACATGGTTCAACAACGAAGCATAAACAACACGCTCGAGAACTTTGCTGAGTAACGGTAATAGCGATACAGATCGATAGTTTGCCGGATCACACTTATTACCCTTTTTGAATATCGGGATAATATTCGCTCGCTTCCAGGAACGGGGCACAGATCCCTGTTCCAACGACAGCCTGCAAATAATGGTAACTGGCACAGTGAGCTCTTCGTAGCACTCGCGTATCACCCTCGCACTGATTCCGTCAGGGCCGCATGCCTTGTATGGACTGATGCTGAGCATGATGCTGCGAACAGTCTCTTCTGAGATTCCTAAACTCGCTGAGCACGTCCAGATTGTAATCAGGTGGTGTAGGTAGCTGTTCCACGCGGTGTTTGGAGAATTTATGACTGAACGCACGATTAAGTAGCTCGGCTTTGTCAGTGTCCTTTGTTACTTTCCGACCACCTTCCATCAGATGTGGAATCGCACTGACTTGCGGTGCCCTTGTTTTGTATGGAGTAGGTGGTGCTGGTTATATGGTTCATTGAGTGTATTGACTTTGTATTTCATTGCCAGTTATGGTCAGTGATCAGTAATTGACAGTAGGCCCAAGGAAGGGCTCAAAGAATGCCGTCATATGCGTCGGGAATCGTTCAATGTCTTTCGTGATTTATCGCGTGCCGTTTGCTTACCTGTAAAGGTCTCACTTGTTGACATTCAAAACCATGGCTTCCGACCATAAGCGTGTTTACTTTTGACGGCGGCGACCGGGGTCGACCGGCGCGGCGGCCGGGTCTGCAGGCGGGGGCCAGAGCGCGGTGCGGCCTGGTGGCGGACGGGCGTGCTGCATGTTCTTTTTTATTCATTGCGCTCGTTGAACTCCGTTTCTTTCAAGCATTATTCGTTCATTTTCGTTAGCATACAACAAACATAACAATCAAGAAACACAGTAAAACACGCTCAACAAACACACAGTAGGGCAAGGGAGAGGCAACAAACACAAGGCCAAGTCTCTCGACGAAAGTGGTATCTTTCCTTTACAGGATTTCCTGCAGCTGCCGGAAGCCAGTGTAGTGGCCAGCCGGGTCGGGCCACTTTCGGCGGATGGCTGCCACGACGCAGGCGGGCACTGCTTGCCGCTGCCCACTCCCCAACCGGCCCCACTGAGAACATTACAGCCAGAGGCCGTTTTTAACCCCAGGATACACGCACACAAACACACACACGCACACGCACGCATTGCGCATGGAACGTTCTGAATGTGTTAAAATCAGGACGTTATTTCAACTTTATCCCGCGAGTTGCTGTGAAGGGGGCGACTTCATCACTTCCCCGCAACAGCCGTAGTAGTGCGAAGCACAGTATTCCTGATAGTAGTTAAACAAAGGCCAGTCAGAAACAAGGCTAACCCAGCTGAGGTATGATGAGTCACGTAAGTTTCGGTGGTTAGCCTCAAACTTTGCAGTTTTGCAGTTTTTGCAGTTTTAAGACGACTATGTGCAAATGACCTTTTTTACCTCCGCATGATGTACTGGCGGTATGCCTGGTGCCGCCTGGCCCGGTTCAGAGCGCCAGGCTCCGTGTCCCTTCCAGGGAACAGAGGGGCGTCCCGCGCATCTCTGCTTGGAAGATCAGCGCGGCCGCCACCGTGGCCTCGGTCAACGCGACCAGCCTGACCTGCTGCAGAGAAAGGCGTTTTTCCTTGTGATTTACAAATTACACTGGATCGTAAGAAACTTGAATATCAAACAAGAATATGAAATATAGGTGCAAAATTTTAATGGAGCTGCAATCATGAATCATGGACGGTTAACACCAAATTCATCGCTAGTAAAAAGTGCACGCATGCCCGATGCGGGCTGATTTGGATGTGGTACACTCACATGATCCTCGCCCCTCGGACACATCATGGTATGCTCATTTTTGAAGGCACAATTTTCATGTATCTACCGAGCACAAGTTGAAATTAAATATTTTAGCGGTAAGAAATTCTTGGACAGACGCTTAAGTTGTCAAAACTCACGTGAGAGCTTCGGTACTGCACTTGGGGCCAAATCGCTTTTGAAAAAAACGAACGTCAAAATCTCGCGCATTTTTTCCATGACGCCCTGCTTGACGCTAACCCCACGCAAATACTTACGGCTATCAATTTGGTTTGGAAATACAGCGACATCTTCAGTGCCATGCCACTAACAAGTGTCGAAAAACACGGTGCGCCCATACCGCCGGCTAGGCCGTAGGCGTTACCAGCCCCATTTGGTGTTCAGCGACGCCCGGCGCTCACTGCCAATCAGGCGGCGCCCCGTCTGAGTGTCCGTCTCCGCCGGCCATGAACCATGACTGCCCACCGGGCTGCCCTTGAGACTGCGGACGCCGCCCAGCCGCGCCCCGCCACTGGCAATGCTCCGCAGAGAATACGAGATAAGGCGTTTAAATTCCGGGCAGTGCTTTACAAGAACAATATCTTTATGATGTTTTTCTGTTTACTTTTTTAATCCTTGTTCAAAGAGTTGCTCAAAATGCGCGAGGATCGTTAATCAACGGCTAGGTACTAAAAGCATTGCCCCAGTAATTTCAACATTGGTATGCAAATACCAACGGTCATCCGTATCAATGTTCGGCGCTTCTATTTCAAAATTTCACAACAGAGCTTGATCAAACACAAAAATTTAGCAGACTTCACATGTCTATTCGCTAAGGGATTGCTGGAGGAAAGATTCTTATGCTGGAGCGTAATGAAGGCGGAAAAGAAAAATGATAGGCATGACATCCAGCTCCTCCCAGAAGACCCCCGGGTTTACACCAGGCAGTCATATTTCCCGCCTGCCTTTGTGAATATTTATATTGCAACTAACTAGACATAATGCAACATAACATAGGTCAATGAAATTAATGGTGTGAAGTGCTCTAGCGAGGAACATAGCGAGAATAGATACGTGAAGAATCATTGACCTTTTCCTCGAAAATGTAAAAACAATGCCAAAAGTTATATTGAATGCGGTGAGCTTTCGGCTACAAGCCTTCGTCAAACCAACAAAATGACACGATACAAAATTCAAAATTCATGTCTACATGCAACACTCTAGAATTGAATTTTTAAACTGCCATTGTAGATACTCGTGCCTGTTTATGGAACAAACCTATCACTCCGCTAAAATCCAAGTACACGTAATGATATGCAACAACATGTGATAAAGATAGTTGCACCAAACACATGATCTCAGATGTCACATATCAATTATCAGGCGACGGAGACCGTCGGCATACCATCACATGATAGGCCATACAATCACATCGGATTGATTGATAGGCCGTACAATCCCACGGATACCTAGGCATACAATCACATGATAGGCCAAGAAGACAGGTTATAGTTTATCTTTGGTCGGTTTCTTCGGATCAGTATGGACTCGGCTATCTTACGGTCGGGATGGTCTTTAGCCTTGTACAAAATTTTAACACCGAGAGGAATGCGGGGAACATCGGTTGTAGCGTGGCACATCATGAAATGGTCGCCCATCGGCGTCCCCTCAGATCTATTTACAGCATCACGTACATGCTCATTAAATCGCAAACGAACGGGACGTTTCGTTTCTCCAATATACATACTAGGCTCCCCTCCCTCATCACATAGTTTTCAATACCGCATTCAATATAACTTTTGGCATTGTTTTTACATTTTCGAGGAAAAGGTCAATGATTCTTCACGTATCTATTTATAACATAGGTCATACTGGAAACCTGAAAATCGATCACTGGAATGGCGTAGACAATACTGACCTCGCGTTTTCAAAATGAGCCTTATATAAACGCCAGCACAAGTTCTTGAGAAACCTACATCCGGACTGAACTGTGAACCAGGGCCATGTTAGTTTTTTACTATCCTGTCGAATGCAGTTATTCTGCATTATATAACTTTAACATTGCTACCATTTCTATTTTCTAAAACCGTTTCAATCAGTTCAGAATAAAAAATTGAAAAGATTTCATAGAATGAACTCCAAGAAATGGGTGCGCTCTGGTATTGATTTGCTGGTGATACAAAGGATTTCTTAATCGTATTTTTCTTTAAAACTATCCAATTCTTGGTCTTGGGAACTTTTTAGTCGCTAGAAAATAGGTTGGTCTTTTTTTACAGACACCCATGTTTCAACAATATGCGATGAGAAGAATGCTATTAAAAATCCTCAAAATACAAAGCACCTAAGTCGTATACCTATACGTTGCAGGGGACGCAGGTACCCCTTGCGTGTGCCAGGAGTGATTACCAGATAAAATCCGCCTCCGATTGGTTGGAGGAGAGTGACCGTTACCTTCTATAGATTGTCTCGTGAACTGTAATGCACCACTAGAAAAGAACCATTGCAAATTGTGAAACGCAATGGTTCCTTTCTAAAACTATTGACAAACAGCATGCAAAGATGTCATTATCTCTGAAGCTCTTGCCTAGATCGAGTTCCAATCAATCTCCTACAAAATGTAAGCTGGATGTATGAACCCACCGTACGCGAGATCAATACCTTTGGGATCATATCACGGATCCAAATCCGTGCTTATGCATCATTGCTACATTTTAACTTCTTCAATATGTTAGTACCGATTACACATCGAAAGACAGCATTGCTCTGCAGACGGGATGTTTTACTGGCTCTCTCTGATAAAACCTCCGGACGCTTGTCCCGGCTTCGACGTTTAAGACCCGAGAAACATCCGGGACGGGAGGAGGCGTCCGTGGTGCTGATCTCAGAGGTTCGTATCCGCCAGGGCCACGCCCTCGCTGCGGGGCGGCGGTTCGGTGGGCCGGCGGACGGGGTGGGCGACCGCGCCACCGCCCTCGGGCAGGGCTGGCCGCGCTATATAGGCGGCCGCCGCGCGCCCAACGACGTTCTTGTGAGCAAGCCGACAGCTCCGACACCCACATCATGATCCGTGCGGTGAGTGAACGCTGCCGATCGCTGTAGTATACGGCGTCGAATGGGGCAGTAATGGGTAATTATAGTGTTAATAAGCCTCATTTTGTGAAACATAAACGTCGGCCTGGCTTAGATGATAAAATTCACGTTTGTGTGGTAATTTAGTTCGTAATATTTTCTACAGATATAATACAGAATACGTTTGCATATAATTCTGTTCGTTCAAGCATGTTTTGTGTCACCCAGAAGCGTATCTTTCGATAATGCATGATAAAAAAAGAAATTGTTAACGTTTACCCACGACCATTTAAGCACAGCTAACCTTTTTAATTTCGATGTCCTCTCTGAGATTTCTTACCGCAAATGCTAGTTCATCTCCCATGAATATTATGCAACTAACAACTGGAAGGGCAATGCTGCCTAATGTCCATGCACCGAGTGCGCGCGCCCGTGTGCTGACCTGCGGCGGCGTCTCCAGGTCGTGTTCGCCCTGCTTGTGGCCGTGGCCAGCGCCGCCTTCATCCCCGTGCTGGACGTGGACCGTTCGTACCCGATCCGTGACGAGTTCGACCGGCCCATCTACACCCTGGGTCAGAAGGCCGCCTTCGACGTGCGCACCAAGACAGCGCGCACCGAGCAGGACGTGCCCATCGTGCCCGTGGCGCCCGCCGTCACCTACCACGCCGCTGCCCCGGTCGCCTACCACGCCGCCCCACTTGCCTACCACGCCGCTCCGTATGCGGCGTGGTAGACCGCCGCCGTTCACTACATCTAGATGACTACCGAGCGAGCCTGGACGACCGATCAGCTTTGGGCCGAACCGACCGCCGCGCGTGGCGAGCTGGGTCCCGCGGGGTGAGGTCAAGACCTCGCCTGCGGCCCTGGCGCCGCGCCGGGCAGTCGTGTGCATCTCACTTGAACCGACTAGCGGCAGTCTTGCCGCCGACTGAACCATTCACCCCGTTTGTCATTGAAATACAGTCTGACGCGATGAGGATATTGTTTGAGTAGGCGGCGCTTGAGTATGACCCGGGGCTGTCTTGCCCCATCTACGTATTAAGTGTCGGGGAAAGTCCAGTGACTATCTATCCAGTATCTGCAAGCCGTACAAAGGTTTAACAATTGTGTTCCAACGAAGAAAAACCACGTTTCAAAATATTTTCTTTTTTAACCATTGTCTCGCTATTTGGAAAGTCGCTGAGGTCGCTGCGAGACCTCAGTTGAATATCTCGCATTGTACTTCGCACGTGCGGGGCCCAATGTCTCACTCGCCTATTTGTCACGGCCCAAAAAAACGAAGAATATGCAATACCGTTCATACCTGAACGGTATTGAACGATCAGGCTGGTCGAAGGAAAACGCTCATAGAACCTGGCTGGTTCTTTGAGCGAGACGCCAATTTTATTATTACTTTTCATTACCATACTCGAAAAAGATGTCACATTAACTTAAAAATGAAGTCTGATCTTGTATAGAGGTAAGAGCTTTTCGAAGATATTGAACTTGGACTTTTATTTATCATGCCTATTTTACTACGAGCAACGCCGGCCTGAATTGAATTGCGGCAAGGCTCGCCGTTTGTTTAATTTTCTAATAAACAAACACAAACTTCACGAACAGCGTTCGCGAAAAAGTGACGTCATCGGGAGAGTTATTGAGCTAATGGCGAACAGGCTCGCGAACGTTCATGAACTGCTCCTGAACGCAGTAGAGGGGGCGAATCCTTCATAAGCTGTCCTTCATAAAAGCTGTCCTTCATAAAATTCAAAAGGTTATTAACTTTTCTGCGCGTGTCATCGCAGGCACCAGGAAACATGACCACATCACACCTGTGCTCAGGTCTCTCCACTGGCCGGATGTCGAGACCATGGTGCGCCGCAGAGACGCTGTGAAAGTGTTCAATGCGCTGAATGATCCAGATACGCCTACCGCGATTCGCCAAATGTTTACATTGCGTGCTGATGTGTCCGTCAGACAAACTCGGGTGACCGAGCGCGGTGACTTACACCTCCCGAAGTGCAGACTGTCTGCATCGCAGAGAGCTTTCTCCTACAGAGCGGCGGCCACTTGGAACAGATTGAGCTTTGCCGGTGCCGTCGCTCACACTGAAAGCAGTTTCAAAAGTTTTGCCCGCCGCTGCATTGTCTAGTGCCGTTCTGATGCTTTTTTTATCGTATCACATCTTGTCACATTTTATCTGGTCGCTCTTTAATCACATTTTACCTGGTCGTCGCTTTTTACAATGTGTGTATGCATGTACGAGTATATTGTACAATTGACGTGAGTGCCGAAAAGCCGTATAAACGGAAGTACTCAATACATGACTATGACTATGACTATGACTATGACTATGAATAAAACCCCTTCAACCGTTTCGCTCATAATTACGCTAGAGCCTCGCGGAAAAATGAGCGTGTCCGCCGTTACGAGAAGTAGCGATAGTACCCGATTTTTAGGTGTCAGGTCAACCGGTGGCCTCTAAGGTCAGGTCAAATTGCCCAAGGCACGGGCTCAGTTTTTGGTAAAGAAATTTGCAAAAAATGGCCGCAGAGCCGCGATTTTTGGCATCATACTGTTCGCCCAACTGAAGCGCGTCGAAATGAATTACTTTTTGTTCGGGTGAGATCAACTTAAGGTGTTGACCTCGGGTCAAGGTCAGGTCAGATTTCCTCAGGCCACGAAGCTTGTCGAAGGTCATAAGTATTGCATATTCTTCGATTCGGCAGGTCTTCCCGAGTCCATTGGTGGCCTTCCCGACTCTAGCTCAATTTGATCGGGAATTATTGACGAAAAACTTATGACCCTACTTAGCGACGTCATAAATTACGTCATTCAAGGTCAACAATGCAAAAGCGAAGCATCGAACCTTGCAAGGAGTGCATGATCACGAATGCATGTGCTTGAGATAGGTTTAGATCATTCCCGGCGCCAAAATAACAGTTTCCATATTTCCCATTGACTTATAATGAATAAATATCACGTGGCCGACCTAACCTCACGTAACCTTTATGAAAAAATCCCGAGATATACAAGTTGTGAGATCTTCGGAGCGTACTACCTCCTGAAGTTTCATTTCCCTGTGAAAGTTCCTCTGGCATTAAGGGCGTTGCGAAGTTGCGACATCTGAGGATCGTGCAGCTCGGAAAACTTATGTTCACTTATGATGTCATAAGTCGGTGGCCTGACCTGACCTAAAAATGCGGTTATCACAAGATATGGCTTGAATCAAAGGTCAGGTATCCATATTTCAGCTCTCTAATCATAGGCGTGTTCCGAGCTATCGTGAAAACCCTATGAGGCACAGGCCGGCGAGGGTTAAAATACCTTCCAAACCTTGTAAATGACCCAAAACAACCCAAACAATGACGGTTTCAATCGATTGGCAAGTTCCTTGAGTATGTAAATAACATAAAAACTTATTACCGACTGATCTTTTCATGCACACACGGGTTGTCTTGTACCTAGGTGAATATCGTTATTCAATAAAAAGCTACATTTCGTCAACCTCAGTATCAGTTAGTTTCAGTTTCAGTTTCAGTATCAGTATCAGTAATAGTATCAGTGTAGTTCTTTTCCCAGGATAGAAAAAGAACAATTACGAATGCAATGGCATTCCCACTTCCCAGTTCCGAAGCGGCTGCTACGCTTGTAAGCGTGCCATTCAACTACGAACTACTGTTGATCTTCTTACTGCCCTATACTCGCATGGGATGCAATTTTTCAGAACTCAAAACTTGCTAGGAACTGAGATACCGAAAAAATGCTATAAAATGTCCATTCGAAAATGTATTAATTTTATTTCGATTTTCTCGATAGGTCACCGGTAAGTGTGAAAAAGTATGAACCCAATTATTTCAATCAGATGACACAAATTTACTAGCTTGTTCCTGCCAGAGGTGATAAACCGAGAATCGGCATCAACGCGTTCGCATCTAGACACACACAAGTATTTTTATTGTCTCATTGACAAATGCAAACACGTTTACATGGCGGATCGGCGCAAAAGCTAACGCTTAAGTCGAGGCGCCTCTCCAAAGCTAAACAATTGCAACAGAATTTAACAAGATAATAAATCATGGATCCACTAACACAGCCAGCAGGGGACAGAACCACGCCGACCCCGCCAACTACCCACGAAGCATCCAACTGGAATAGGGAAAGCCCGCTCGGTCCCGCGCACAGGGCGGCCACCGCCGGCTCAGATGAGTGATGTGAGTTTGTGTGCTGGAAGGTGGTGTGTGGCTGTGAGTGTGTATACTCGTACTTGTGTCAATGTTACGTTGTGTTAGTAAATCGCCTGGTGTTTTGAATGTATGTTTGTAAGTGGTGAGCCACATGCACACCCACCATGCTTGTGACGTTTCTATTAAATAAAAGGATGTCAAGCTTACTTTTTCCTGAGAGATTATCAAAGTTTGGAACGATAGCCTGCATGACACCGAACAGTTGCGATCGGGCTGTTTGGTACAGAGGACAGTCCCTTATGTAGTGAGTGGTTGTTTCATTTGGGTGACCGCAAATGCACGCTGGAGTAAGGACGTTTGGGTGTTGCGTTCGGAATTGATGTGCGTTCAGAAATGTTTGTCCGATGCGCAGTCTAGTGTGGTGTGTGTTTGCTGTCTTTGTGCCGACTGAATGTGACAGTGGAGGTTCTGTTGTCCCAAATCGCTGCCAGACTTCACGAGAGAAATCAGAGCGGGATTGAATGGCACGCATAGCAGCAGGAAGAAGATTCCACTGCCTGATAGTTGCTGGGATAAAGGATCGGTGGAAGGATGTGAGTCTAATCGGGGGAAGCGATAGTAGGGTGGCGTTTCTAAGTTGAAGTCCTGTAGCACCCTGTCTTGTGTCAGTCAAAATGTTGGTGATATATGTAGGTAAGGGAGGATTGTTATTATAAAGTCTATGAAAGAAAATGAGTCTGTGAATGAGTCGTCTCGTTTCCAGTCTTTCCCACCCTAAGTCATTCAAAAGTGCGTCTGTCGGTGATCTGTATAGTGCTCCAGTAACGAGTCTTGCACATCGATTTTGAAGTCTCTGGAGGCGGATTTTGTCTTTGATTGTCAAGTTGCCGTCGTAAATGATGTCACAGTAGTCAAAGTAAGGTCTTATGTATGTTGTGTAGATGTCGCTGAGCATAGGCCTAGTGAGAAATTTGGCTATAGGGTAGATAGGTCCAAGTAATGAATTAATTGTACGGACAATGCTATTAACATGTTGGTGAAAACAAAGATCAGTCGAAAGAGTGAGTCCGAGATGCTTGTGGCAACTCGTAGTGGGAATGTCTTGCCCTTTAAAATGTAGCTTGAAGTCTTGGTTGTCATGTACGTTGGAAAATGTCAATTGTATAGTTTTCTGTGCATTGAAGGTGATTGCCCAGTCGTCTCCGTAACGTCCTATGTCGTCCAAGTCTTTTTGTATCGTCGTTCTATGGTCCTGGCTGTCATGTGGATGTGATGAATATAAGGAAGTGTCGTCGGCGTAAAAAAGTGCTTCGTTCTGCGTGACTTTTGACAGGTCGTTAAGATACATAATAGCCAGCAGAGGCCCGAGCACTGAACCTTGTGGGCAGCCTGACGAAATTTGTTCCGGCGGAGAAAAACTGTCTCCTACTCTTACTACTTGCGTCCGTTTGCTCAAGTATGACTTTGTCCATTCCAAGACGTTTCCTGTTATGTTGTATTGTATTTCACATTTTTTAAGTAAACCTTTGTGCCATATTTTATCAAAATATTTTGAAATATCGAGAAAGACGGCTGTGAAATTTTCTTTTTTGTTTAGTGCTGAAAATAATTGGTGGGTAAGGTATACAAGTTGTATATCTGTACTGTGATTTGGACGATATCCGCTTTGCTTATCGGATATAAGTTCATTTTCAGTTATATGTTTGTAGATTTTGTTAAATACCAATTTTTCTAAGATTTTGGATACATTTGGAAGGAGGCTTATTGGACGATAGTTTCCCGGGTCTGAGCTAGATCCTTTTTTCTTGAAA